GAAAGTGTCTTGGGTCACTCTGTATTTATTTCTATTTAGCATACAAACGGTCAGATGTTCTTTCTAATGCTGCAGTGCTCTTTGTGGTTTTTCTTGAACTTCTTTGGCTGCTGAATACAAGCAATACCAGTGTTGAACCTACACAACACCTTATCAATGGGTCAATTTAAATTAGACATTTAAATGCTTTGTTATTATCACATAAGGGAAACGTGTTCCCATCCTAACACCAAAAACAACACAGTTTGACAAGATGAAGCTGATTAGCAGAAACCTTTAACGTGTTTGTGCCATTTTTATGCTGTCAACATGACTTTCAGATCTGCCTTACTGTCAGATAGTTTTGTTTTTGTTTGGTCTTCTCTATTTGTTCTCTACTTGTTCTCTTTCATGATTTATTGAAACTACACTGATCAATATATCGTCATGTTCAGAGGTAGGGACGGGAAAAAAAGAGTTTACAAAACTGTCAATGTCAAAATAACAACAAAAAAAAACAGAGGAAATACTTATTGTGGGCTTTTCTTGAAAGATCACAAGTTTAGAAGCAGACTGTACAGACATAGGGGGATGACTCGTAATGTTTGCACAGCATTGTGTAGCCTGCAGTGTAATGCCAATGGCGCATAATACAAACCACACAACTCCAGTGCAAGCCTTTATTTAACCAACCGGTTTCTAACAGAAAAACAACAAAAACCTCTGCACAAAATAGACCTGAGTAATAACAGTGGTGCGTGTAATAACAGAGTTAAGTCACATTTAATGATCATTCGTTCATGACAATAATAACCTGGTAGCTAAAGGAAGGATTTAACTTGCGTATCAATTATAATTTAGCCTCATTCAGCAAAACATCTGAAAAAAAAACAACTATTGTTTCTCATTCATTAATTTCATATACTAATACCTGGGCTTATAGGCTACAAAAACAGGAAGTAAACAGACTCATCAGCTGTTTTTTTAATTATCATTTTTTACTCTATTGACAAAAATTACATCTCGACGGAAAAAGGAGAGCATGTTACGATGGGAAAAAAGAGCTCTGATGGAGTCTAGATTCAGTTGCAGAAAGGTTCCTATGAGCCAACACCCAAAAGCTATAAAATCTTACGAGAAGTTTTGAAGACAGTAAATCTGATTTGAGACGTGTCGTTTCAGATTTATAGAGAAGACTTACCTCTGGCTGAACACGCGCAAAGCAGCAGAAGGAAGGATCCTAAAGCCGCTGTAGTGATATTACCTATAACTTTCATAATTGTTTTTTCCCCCCCTTACTAAGTTTGTTCCGATGAGTTTTGTTGGGTTGCAGCTCTGCGCGTCACCCTGAATTCAACAAGCGCTGCTTTAAAGTGCTGTCGGAAATATCAGCATTCAGGCGGACTAGCTACTCCGGCGAGAGAGCTGGGATCTTTTTTCTGATTGGCTAATTCCCGGTAGAGTTTACGTCAATGCGACATAGTACTGGGAGCTTGGAAGAGGAAAGAGTTCAATATTTTCTCAGATTTTTTGCCTATTATTTCTAACATTATTTCTCTTTAAGACATTCTTAAAAAAGGGAATCCTCCAGAATCGTTTCTCTGCAACATGTGATCATAAATTACAATCACGGATATCATTTCTACTACAAGTCCAGTGGCGCCACCATGGAGGAGGGTCAGTATCCACCATTATTCTACCGACCCCTTTACAGGTACATATTAATGTTTTTTTAATGAATGTGAATTTAAAGATGAATATGGCTTCAGTGCATTGTAACATTTATTTATATATTTATTTATGAAAATGGTGGTCCTTCCACTGTTTCTTTCAGGTTTTCATTTAGATCTATCAAAGGGTATGTAATATGAGCAGCGTCTGGATTAACTGACACTTCTGTTCTCATCCTTTATCCTCAGCAGAGAGCAATCGCCTCTGATGGTCACTTAACCTGATGTTAAGGTCAGTTAACCTTATCAGGTTAAGTGACCATCAGAGGCGAAGTGACCTTAACATCAGGTTAAGGTTACTTAACCTGATGTTAAGTGGCATCAGGTTAAGTTTGAATTTCAATTCAAATTTCAAATTCAAAATTTGAATTTTGATAAAACTTTCATTGAAATGACATCACTACTCAGCAACAGATCAGTACAGAGTTAAAAACTGAGCCAATTTTTTTTACTGCATTATTGCTTAGGTATAAAATTTGCTGCCATAACATAAAATGTTTAATCTACACATATTTAGAAAATTGTTTTTTGTGTTCTCGTGACAGAGTACTTGGTATAATTATTACAAAAATGGCATAAGAAATGTAAGAACGAAAAAAAAATCAAAATGAAAAAAATGTGGTACTTCTAAAATTATGCATATTTAATTTGTTAATTTAAAAATATATATTTTAGCTTTCAAAGTAAATATAAAACAAATCTGTTTGAGCGTCCTAAGGGTGATATGAGTGAGTTTTTGTCATGAGTTGCGGGTTGAAGTGGTGAGGAGAGAACGGTGAGACCCAGGTTATGGTGATGAATTTAATGGTGAAAATAAAGCTCCACAGTCCATACAGGCAGCACGGCAGAGACTAGCACACAGCTAAGTACCGGTAGCAACTGATTCATCAGACTCGACGGGAGCAAGCACAAACCAGGACTTTACAGTTCAACTGGCGAGTGACAAACTACAACACGACGGCAGTAGACAAACTTAGACAAGGACCCGACGAAGAACACAGACACAGGTGGGTTTAAATACACAGGGAGGGTAATCAGGTAAGTAGACACACCTGAGGAGCAATCAACGGGGAGGACAGGACAGAGACTCACAGGAACACAGGACTGAACACAGAGAAACTCAAAAATAAACACACAGAAACACGGAACCTAACAGTTTTCTTCCAAGGGACACTCTGGAGAGTAAGTTTTCTCGATTCACTCATGATCTGTTACATGCTTTGATAAATATAATTTGCAACCAAAAATAGACCCATAATAATTTTGAGGGCTCATAGTTTTTTCTCTTTTTTTTTTTTACATTTATAAAAAATGACTTGCCCAAATAGGGATCTCAATTAAAATGGAGGTCTATAAAACTGCTTGTACTTTAAAAAATGTAAGACTCTATATCTTCTTGGTTTGCGAAATTACTTAACTACAAAGACTTAAAAAAAAACATATGCCATAGTTAAATGTGTATGGACTTGTTTGTTTATGTCTATGGAAACAGTGGATATGACATGGAGGAATTGGGAAACTAAATCACTTTTTTCTAAATGGTTTCATGACTTTTCAATATCACTCACACTCTACCTGTACACTCTGTACCTCTGTGTCATGACAGCAGTAAGGTTTTGGTTTTAGTGTGTATCCCTGAGGGGTGAAGGACCCAAAGACTAATCCTCTGAAAACTGTGCATGAATAGACCTGCATAACACATAGCGCGTCACACATAGGCATTAAAAAGTCAGACGAATCGTCAGAAAGCGTACTAATAAATTATTGTTCACCATCCCCACCACCAACCTCCACACTTGTGGAAATTTTTGAAAAAGGGAAACAGTGAAGTACTTCCACCTAATCCCTGTGGGAAAACTCAGCTCTGAGTGCTGCCAACAGAGCTGGAATAGAACAGAACCCAGCCTGTATTATTTCTAAGGCCTCTTCTTTCTTTAGTCAGGAGCACTAATTAGATGACTGCTAAAATCCATCCCAAAAATGCACTTGTATTTAAATGAGCTGGAAACAAAATACGTAAATATAATTTTAAAATTAAGCAAATCTGTGCAAGTAGTACTGATTGACATTCTAGATGAACAGAGCCCTTAGCAGAATTTGATTTAGGAGCCCAATTTTAGTTGAGACCACACCCACCAGCTCAAACTCATTTATTTACATTTATTTGCAGGATAAGAGAGGATTGACTGAGACTGGAACAATGACATAAGAAGAAATCACTAAATTATCTACATTAAATTAAATAACTATCAAATGTTTCCCCCAAATTGCATCTGTTTGTTTTAAAAGTATGCATTTTGAGGTTTGTATTTTGGATGTGAAGTTATGTGCTCATGAGGGCCCTCTAGCCTGCATGTATAGCATTAAGCTACATGAGGTCATTTACTGCTTGGTCTGTCATATGAATCATAGACAATGCGGCATTCCAACTGATTCGGAGCAGACCACCAATAATAAATTGTCCATTAGAATGTCAATTAATTTGGCATGCTGTAATGCCAATTAAGATTTTCCAACTGATTGTTGATGTTGTTGTTTTTTATATATATATTTAAAATGTCAATGAGAACAGATTTTTCAGAATCTATACTCCTTGTTGGGAAATTTGTGTGTTATGTTTTTTTAGGAAAAAAAGTTGTTGATTCAATAAATGAAAATAAAATTAAATCTGCAACTTAAGCTTCAGTGTAAGCCACTTGTATAACTCTGTCGCCATCATGTGGATGTTATATCGAAGTTGCAACACTGACTTCTGTCAAATAAATTGACTTATTCCCCAAAATAAATATTGAGATGTTATATGATCTAAAAAAAAACCACACAATTAAATGAAATAATACAAAAAGCAGCGTTAAACCTTACATAATTACAAAGCCGTGAGTGAAAAATAATAACCAAGTAACATTTGACGTTGCCATGTAAGATGTGCAGTGAAACCTACTCAAAACACTCACTGAGGACTCGCTCTTAATGTTATACGAGCAAGAGTAACTGATGATAAACGCTACGTATGCAAATTAGGAGGAGGTGCAAACTTATGTAACTGCGTCAGAGCTCACGTTCCCCACACGTGCTACAAATTGTATTGCACGTTTATCAAACGCAAAGAAAAAATACTCGAAACACAAATTTAGATATTTTACCATTCGCAGCATCATTTTTTACAGAAGAACTCCTTGCCAGTCTCTGACAAACTGACAAAGGTATCTCCAGTGTTTATAAGGTATATTTAAAAACCCGTAAAATCAGTTGTGTTACGTCATCTCTACGTGTGAACCAATGAGAACTCGGATATGCAAATGACCGGATTGTTCTAGGAAGTGGGCTGTCAGAGCTGTGGTGTTACACTTCTTCAGTTGGTGTGTCTAGACCCGTTTTTCTTTTACCTTTTTTTTCCTCCTTTCACCAGTGGGCATGGTACGCATCAGACTCCTATGCTTCAGACACCACAAGCATATAAGAAGGCCAAGAACGGTTTAACAGCGTGCCGCCATAAGCAGCGAGGATTTAACCCATTTTTCCCCAGCGGAGGTGAGTGAAACTGAGGATGCTTTTGCTCCTGGTGGACTGCTAAGTGAGGCTGCTGTGTTTAACCTTTCATTATAAAACTTAATAATAGTTGGGACTCGTACCGTTACTTACTTGCTGGCAGTGCACACGTTAAAAATACGGTTTAAGGAAATGTAGAGTGGATTGGGCCGCGGTCACTAAGGTGTGAAGTTGCTACGGGAAAAATACTTGGTGTGGGTGGGTGGGAAGCTAACACGGTTCTTTCCATTTTTTTTCTCCCCCAGCAAATTACTGGTTTGCAGTTTTGTTAGGTTTCTAACACATCTGCCGTTGTGTGTGTATGATTAATGGGAAACTTACTGGGTGATCCCCCTGTCAGTCGTGACAAAAGAGGAAGAGCTGAGCAAAGAGCAGCTTCTCTGAAGCTGATACAAATTGCAATTTACGACTCATTAAACTTTATAATCCACACCACTTGTTCTTGTTTTTTATTAATTTATTTGTGTTTTATTATCCTGGAAAGCTGCTCTCCCTCTTCACCCATTCAAATACTTCTTCAATTTTTATCTAGCTGTTCCTCTATTCTTAAATATTTATTGATTAATTGGAATGTAAAAATAATCATTAATGGTGTATGGCAAAACAGAGAAAGGTTGTAGTTTTCAGTATAACAGAAAATTAAGGAATCAGTGAGGGAATCGCAAACTCCTTCCCATTTCTGTTTCAACAAATTCAAATAAATAATAAAAAGTTCAGTGGGTTAATGCCTTTAATGATCAGAAATAGTGGGAGGTCTAGTTGAGATTCCCTTTTAAGGAATAAAAAATCTATACATCTTTTCAGTATTTAATCTGCTGATTACCGATCAGAGTGCGTCTGAGTGATTGTTGCATTTTGACGCATTGTAGCTGCGTTAAATGTAATTGAAATTGATTCAGAACAGACATACTTTCAAAAATCGAGATTTAAAAATAAAACATTCAGGTGCTTACTGTTGCCACTATGTTACAGATAAATCATATTATAGATAATATTATCCTTAAATTAAAAAAAAGGTATCAAGTAAGGAAATCACTGTGGTAATGAATTTGAATGTACCTGAATTATTGCAACTGAAAGAAAAAAAAAAGGAAATAAACTGTAAAGCAGTTTCTTAGTTTAGAAACTGCTGTTATTTAATGAAACTAATTTTGTATCCCTGTGGATAATTCTGGCTCCAGCAGTGTTTAGAGCTGAGTGTAAACCCATTACCTCTACGAGACTGAGGCTGACTGAGGTTATGTGAGGTCTTGTATGTAAGAAATTAGGTTTAAGCTGATGTTGCTGCCCAAAAAGGCACAAATTAAATACCATTAAATGGATCAAAAATCAGAATGAGCATTGGCGTTTCTTGCTTTTGTATAGGAGTCACTTATTTCTTTTTTGTAATTAAAGCATAATTGAAATGAGTTTGCTTCCTAGGTTTGACTGCATCACTGTGAGTTGAAGGGACGTTGACTCTTCAGACTTTTTCAACCTGCAAGTCAAATTTCACCAGAGAGAAATTTTAGTGTAAACTGTAAGTAAAGTACCGTTTTTTTTTTTTTTTCAGCACTGAATTTCTTTTGTCCTCTTACTAAATTATTTTGAGCAACAATGATAGTGACTGCCAGTTCCTGTCGCTGGTTTGCGTGCTGTACCACAACTTCCTTCTCTTCTGTGGTACTTTTGTACCTTTTGCAGTTCCTGTTGTTTTCTTTAGTATAAATAGCCCAGATGACTGTTTGTACTTTGAACATATATTAAGGTAAACCACACATGACATTGGTGTCAGTCTTCTGTTTTTGTGCTGCATGTTTTTTAGTTTTTTTTCCAAGTAGAGCCAGCTCCTTTGTCTTCTAGGTGACTAGTTGACATTTTGCTGGAGATTAACGTAATCATAGTTGATTAATAAATCTTATTTTATTGAGATACCCTCACTGTGTTTTCTTGTAGATCTTTTCCTGACCGGCACAAGCACTTCAATCAAGGTTAGTCGGAGATAATTAACACGTTTGATTGATTTCTTTGCTTATCTCTAATTGATTCACTAGAATCTCCAGCCTCACTAGAAGATCATTTACCATCTACGTAAATTATCTTCTTGCTGGATTTTATGCTACAGAGAATGATAAACGTCATACATGCCTCCGTTTTGGTTTTTCAGCGTAATCATGAGCGCCCACGAGTCGGACCTGCACACCATCTCCCAGGAGATGCCGGCCATGTTTGACGGCATGAAGCTGGCGGCTGTTGCCACGGTGCTCTACATCATCGTCCGCTGCTTGAATCTGAAGAGTCCCACCGCGGCGCCAGACCTCACCTACCAGGACACGGCACTCAACCGCTTCCTGCTCAAGTCCTGCTCTCAGCTGTCCAAAGAGTGAGTGTTTTGAGTCGGTCAATGTGGGCGTTTCCAGGGAAACGGTGCTGCTTTTCGGCCATCTGGCGGTGTGGTGTAGGTAGCACTTTGCGTGGCGCCTGTTCCGACCGTCTGTGCTGCCCGTCTGCACCAGAGATGTTGCTCCAGGGTTATTTAAACATTAGGCCATGTTTTTGGGTTTATCCTGGTAGTATATTGGATTTATGAATAGACCAGCTCAGCGCACTGTGTAGACATTTACATTTTATGACAAACTAAGCTTATCTGATGCCACATGTTGGTCGGAGGAAATGTTTCTGCTCTTCCAGCAGACCTGGAATTTATTAAAAGCTCAACTTTCCGTTGTTGAAATAAAACAAAATTTCTCCGCCTATCTTATTCCATCTGCATTTGCCCTGCTTTTGTAAAGCTCGGTGGGAACTTTGGCATCAACAAGGGGATCCTCTTTAAGCACAGAGGAGTACCTGCTTATATAACCGGCTGTTGCTCAGCTCTTTGCTGTTCTGCTGCAGGGTCAGTGAGTCATAAGGCATCAGCATTGTTTACACTTGAGTCCAGTCTGTTATCATTACCTCCTGAATGGCCATATTTTGCCTGAAACGCAGTCTGTAGGTCCTGTGAGAGTTTACGAAAATCTTGCAACTTGTCCTTCTGGTTTATTTTACAAAGTCCCGTTTCTGTCTCATAATGCCTGTCCGCGTTGTTGTGTAACATATCGATTCCCCAGAGAGAAAGGAATGAAGGGGTGATGTAAGGTTAACAGAGTCATCGGGATTTTTGTTTGCCTCTGTTTGAGAATGTATTTATCCAGACACGCAACATAAATATTTATCTTATTAACTGCTATGAGCTTATCCTGAGAACTTTAAGGAATATTTGTTTTGTCTTATGCCTCACAGTGAGGAATACTTTATTTGAATTAGGGGATATCAGCAATTTTGCAGATGGTTTTGTCTTTGACATTAAAGCAAAAATGTACTCTAATGCAGCTAAAAGTGCACCTACAAGTTGTTGAATTAAAAAAAAAAGAAATAAACTTCTCAGTTCCTTATAGAGGAATCATGTTTACTAGTTTCACAATATAGTCATCATTGCAACATCAGTGTGTACAGGAGCACAAATGCAATATTTAGTGGGATATAATATTTCAAGTAACATTAATTAACGCTCTCCTTGCAAATAAATAATATATTTGGCCAACTGGATAGACTCTCACTGACCTTGATGCCCATACCTGATATACAGCTGAATTGAATTTCCTTAAGCTCATGGAAAGTGTTTGTGAAATTATAGTGGAAACATAAGAGAGGAGGCATTAAAACACGTAATCACAAAACGCATCATGATCGCAGTTGCTTTTTCTCCTAATATTACCTGAATGTTATTGAAGGTAAATTTCCTTTTTTTTCTGTAATTCAAGTCTTTCCTCTTTGATGTTTCTCTTTTTCTTTTGTTTTTACTAAATTGGAGAAGTTTGCCTCTTACTTCAGAGCTTCAGATGTTTGTCTCCTAAAACCGCAGTGACATATATGTTACCTAACAGCTGTGAAGGACGTTGGCTCATTCGCTGTATGTGAAGGTGACTCGTTCGGTTCTAGGAGGCATAGAAATGGACTGATTCAGTCAGTCCTTCCCATGGCCTCTGAACTGAAAAATAACATTTTAATCTGGGCAGCTCGAGTCACAACGGGTTCATATTCTGTGTTATTTCCACATTCCACACAGATTGTATTCTACGGATAATCTCTGCTAATCTGACTGCACATCTCTCCGTCAACGGGAGGACAAACGAGGTCATCCGTCCATCCGTCCGTCCACAGTCTAGCTCAGAATCTCCCGGAAAGTGAAGATAATATTTAACTGCAGTTGGAGAGAATCAGTGGCAGTAATTACGTTATCACCAGACTGGGAGTGGTCCTGTCTTTGACGACACTCTTATGCAACATCTTTTCTGGGCTGAGTTATTGTGACAGTCAGAGATGAACAAGCACAAGGTGGAAGGGCTTGTGTAACTGCTGATCTTACCGAACCCTTCACGCCATGCAGCCACCTGAGTTATGGTGGATATGCTGTGTGCATTTTGACTAAAGTGCAGCGCCGCTTTACCTTCACAGTACTGTAACTCTATGCCTTGTCTCATCGCCTCTCAGGTGGCTAACTGGCCTCTGTGACATTCAGAGCATGTGTTATGGACATTTTCTCACAGATTAAATGAGAACAGAGCGCTTTTGACTCTTGTAGTGGATTGTCTGCAAGTAATTGTTTCCAAATGGAAATTAATCTCTTTGATTAAACTTTTTGAGACATTAAGGAACTGTTAGATAAATGGTTTTACATCAAATAATTAATATGTGACATGTATATAGCTACACTAACATCACAGGGATATACACTGCTCAAAAAAATAAAGGGAACACTCAAAAACACATCCTAGATCTGAATGAATGAAATATTCTCATTGAATACTTTGTTCTGTACAAAGTTGACTGTGCTGACAACAAAATCACACAAAAATCATCAATGGAAATCAAATTTATTAACCAATGGAGGCCTGGATTTGGAGCCACACACAAAATTAAAGTGAAATGTTCCCTTTATTTTTTGAGCAGTATATTTCAAGTGTTTTTTTTCCTACTTAATTTGATGAATTTTGGCTTATAGCTAATGGAAACTCCAAATACAATTTCTCAACTACAGCATCACATAAAACCAATTAATTACACCAGGATTGTGTGTCCTTTAAAATAACATTAGAGGAAACCTTAGGTTATGCAACGGTCTGCTCCACCATGGAAAAGGCTGACGACAAACATACATCATGTGGTCAGTGACTGAAAGTCGAGTGGAAGAACAAAAATGTGGTAGAAAATTAAACTGAAGCAAGTTCTATTCAACAATTTGGGGTAAATTCATTTGAAATATATCACTAAATAAAGTGTATAATAAATATATATACTCTGAGTTCCATTTTTTTAAAATCTTAACTTTAAATACTGATATAAATCCTAAAATTTTACTTAAATTTATTGAGTTGTATGCTAAAGTGAACAGGGATTTTGTAGCTAAAAGAAGCATCTTTAAGGACTGAATGTGAAAACTGAAATAATTTTTGAAGTTTGAGTAAAATGGTGATTTATGAATATACGCAAAATACTAAAAGGAGTATTATGTAAGTGTTTCACTCCTACAGTAACGCCTACGAAAGTTCCCCTTTAGCATGCCAAACGCAACATAGCATAACATGGCAACAAACTAATATGAAACATGGATGATTGGCTTCAACAGCTGCCTGTAAGACTCTGCAATAGGAAAATGACTTGGGATCTTTTTTGAGGTTCATGTCTGTCATTACCCAGCATGCTGTCTTCTTGCTTCATTTGCAGCACATTAAGGGGAGCTCATGTTTCCGTATCAGATTAAATTCTCCACTGTTGTTTTTTTTTTCAGGTACATCCCGCCATTGCTGTGGGGTAAGAGCGGTCACCTCCAAACGGCGCTGTATGGTAAACTGGGTCGGGTGAGCTCACCTCACCCTTGTGGAATCAGGAAGTATTTGCCCATGCAGGATGGAGCCACGGCAACCTTTGACCTCTTTGAGCCCCTGGGGGACCATCAAACAGGAGGTGATGCATTATTATCAAGATCTGATTTTAGGAAATAGGATTTTTGTTATTTATTTATTTTTTTATTATTATTATTATTATTTTTGGATATTTGGCAAGAAAAGTTAGGTGAACTCTTGAATTAGTTTGGGTGGGATTTTCTATAATAATTCAAGATATAATATGATTTTTTTTCCTAATTTTTTTTCTCAATTACAGACAAATACAGTGTTAATAAAAAATACTGATTATGACGTTCAAGTGCTGAACACAACCAAAGGGTTGATGCTACCAAGTCAACCTTTGGATATAATAAATAGTTTATCCTCCCTTAGCAAAGATTATCACAAGCAAACACTCGTTGCAGCTGCAGATCAGAGGTGTTCCTGATTAGGCCTGTCACGGTAACGCATTTTTTCTGGACGATGAATTGTGCAAGAAGTTATTGTGAAAACGATTATTTTTTGTGATTAAAAAATGTTTGTTTTGAGACCGTTTTCAAGTAATATAATGGTAATGGCATAATAATGCAAGAACACCAGATTCTCAAAGATCAATAAACTTTAAATTCTAATTAACATTTGACACTGGAGGCCTTTTAAATATCCAAAAACTACAACAGTTCAAATCAATACTTGAAATCTTTGTAAAGATTTACAAAGACTGTCCTTCACAAAAGGGCTGGTTGAGACCAAAGCAATGGAAATTATTGAGCTTGTTTTAATTCATCATGCATTTAATTGATTTATTGTTTATTGCGACAGCCCTAATCCTGATATAAATTGTCTTAGTTCAGTCACGGAAAGCGTGAACAGCTCTCCTCAGGTCAAACTTCAGCAGCTTTTACTTTCTCAGTTTCGTTTATTATTTAGAAAATTGCGATTTAGAAATCTCCTGACTCGGATTCCAACATATTACCAGCATATTTTCTTGCATGCTCCATGAATGAATGATTTATTTCAAATTAAACAGTGCCAGAATCACCTACTTTCTCTTGATTATAATTTGGGATGCACCGATTGCAGTTTTCTGGCCAATCACAATCTTTAAAAAGGCAGAACTGCCAATTTTGCTTTTGGCCAATCCTCTTCTTTTTTTTTTTTTTTTGTCTGAAAAGTCACTAAACATAACAACAAAGTCACAAAGTTGATAACAGTGGGGTGCGAAGATAAATAAGATTGATTTCTCTTGTAAATATCGGCCAATTACCCAACATTAATGTGGTAGATTTATCTGTGTACCCCTAATTTTAAGCTCATTTGATACTGGCACATGACAATGATGCAAGAAAAGCTCAGAAATTTTACCTCATGTCAATGAACTGTAATCACATCTGTTTAAACTGTAATTCTACTGCTGCTACTTCTGTCTAGTTTTTTCATGCCACACCTATTGAGTGTTTGTCTATCCTGGACGAAGGAGCGCTCCTGCACTGATCTTCCTGAAGTTTACCCCGTTTTGTTGTTCCTTTCAAAGTTACTCCTTAATTACAAATAGAGTGGTCAGCCCAACTGGGACAAAGACTTGGGTTGAGGAAATGTTATAAAGTATTGTGTTGTGGATAACTTGTAGACTCCATTTAAGAAGAAGAAAACAAAACGATCTTGACGTGTGATACCACGAACAACGAGATAAACTTATCTTATCAGAACCCACTCATCCAGATTGGATTTTCCGTCAGGGTTTTGAGTGTTATTGATCTTTAGATCCAACGTAATCTCACTTTGATGAAGGCCGTGTTGATGGTGGCTTTGTTTCTTTGAGGGATTCACGTGAACCACGTCAATTTTCTGAGATTTCTCAGATACTGCTTGGTATTTGTGAAAGTTTCTTCTTCTTCATTTGGTCTAACTGTTGTAGTCATTTGAAACGAAAGCTGTATTTGACAAACCAACAGTCCAACCGTACATTTGGACTGGCTGCAGAGTTTTGCTCTGCTGATTTACAGTGATGACCTTTTGCTTGGAGAGCGGCACGCTCTCCTTTCTTTCCATTGCTTGCATTTCTCTCACTTGCACATATCTTTCTTCGACCCGTCTACCCCGTTTCACCAGACGACATCACCATGGTGATATGTCCTGGTATCGGTAACCATAGCGAGAAGCACTACATCCGGACCTTCGTGGATTACGCCCAGAAAGACGGATACAGGTGTGCCGTGCTGAACCACCTGGGTGCTCTTCCCAACATCGAGCTCACGTCTCCACGCATGTTCACTTACGGTGAGAACGAAGAGCTTCTTGCGTTCTGCTTATTTGTGACGTTAAACCCTGAGAGGAATCAGAATCACTCCTCTTATTTTGGGCTAGAAATTAAATTCAGAAGAACAATAACAGTGCTTTGTTATTGTTGGTCCTTTTTAATATCAAATAATTGTTCTGATTTAGAGATGTGCTGCACTTCATACCATCAGTGGATCATTATTTGAAGCTAAAACGTGTAACTCGACAGCAGCATGTGGAGAAATAAATGGTTTCCTGCAAGTGCAGGAATATAAATTAAATATATCTGTTCAGAGAGCCTATAAGAGTACAAGTGTGGTACCTTGAGCTAAGGGCACCTTGAGCTAGAAGTGCTGAGCAGGAAATAATGTGGTTTGCCGCTGAAGCGCGGCTGCATTTATTGATCAGTAACTCTATAGTCGCTCTCTTCCAGGGTGCACTTGGGAGTTTGCAGCAATGGTTGGCTACATTAAGAGGGCATATCCTCAGACCCAGCTGATCGTCGTGGGCTTCAGCCTGGGTGGGAACATCGTTTGCAAGTTCCTGGGTGAGAACAGGGTGAACCAGGAGCGAGTGCTGTGCTGCGTGAGCGTCTGTCAGGGCTACAGCGCTCTCAGGTGGGTTTCGGTCCTCTTGTCTGCTGATTTAAATGAGTTGTTTCATCAAAGCCATTTTGCAACACCAGAACTTCCACATTCCCGGGTTCAGGATGATTTCAAGAATAACACAGAAGCTTGCATAATATAATCACATGTGCAGGCATGTGGTCAGCTGTTTAATCTGTCAGATCTACCATCATCGTCATGATGATGGTAGATCATCATGACGATGATGATCTACCATCATCATAATTGGTGCATTGTTTCATTCTGAAGTTCATCTCTGACACGTTTCTTCACTTGAAGAACTGTTTCTGTGGTCGACCATGCTCACCAGAGAACCGGAACGGTTCATGCTCTGCAGTTTCAGCTGCTTTTAGTGTGGATGAGTTTAGTGTTATCAAACATGCACTGTGAATTTGCACTGAGGACGCTGGGTATTTGTTCTTTGTGTGCTCATGTCTTAGGACGTTTATGTTTATTATTTTTCAATGCCTCTTCAGACCTAATTGCTGCATATATCTCATTTTTCTCTTAGGGCTCAGGAAACATTCCTACAGTGGGATCAGTTCAGACGGTTCTACAATTTCCTCATGGCAGACAACATGAAGAAAATTATCCTGTCACACAGGTGCGATAGCTGCAGTATATTGACTTTCCTCTGTACTGAAAAGTTATTTGCTGGTAATCTAGGCAAAATGTGTTGGTGATTTGACATTAACTATTTAAGGTTTGTGCCTTTTTAAAACTCTGGTTAAACCTTTTGGATACAACTTGTTATAATAATGCCAATTCCTAGTGGATGTGATTTAGAAATTTGATAGTAAGTAGAAGTACAAAATATATCCGTCTTGACTCGCAATTAAATTTTTTTTCACCTTTTAAACTACAGGCACAGTCTGTTTGGGGAAAGCTTACTGAAAAAGTTTGACACAGATCTCAATCGACTGTACATAGCAACATCCCTCACGCAGATTGACGACAACATCATGAGGTACGTCTACCAGCTTAGCGTTTGCTTACTTCCTGTTCAGGGACGTTACTGGGTGTCTTGTTGTGACGCTCGTCTCTTTTCGTGTTTCAACAGAAAGTTCCACGGCTACAGCTCTCTCAAAGAGTACTATGAAAAGGAGAGCTGTGTACATTATATCCACAATGTAAGAACCGCTCCAGTAATTCCCTGTTTTTTTCCCCTTCTTTCTGTTTTTGTATTTGTGTTTTATGTGTGGAAATTTGTGCTATGACCTACAGGTGGATGTGCCACTGCTGCTGGTAAACGCTGCAGACGATCCCCTGGTTCATGACTCACTGCTTGCCATCCCTCGCACATTAGCAGGTGACTTTCAGCTAACTATTGTCTACTATAACTTATGCTAAAGTCCATGAAGACATGGATGAACGACCACAGATGTTCTGAATCTATTGGGTTGAGTCCACACCTTAAACTGATTTTAAAAACACCTTTATGATGAATTAAAGTAGAGACTGAGACAATCGTTCTCATCCAACATCACTGTCACTTAAATTCGGTACTAAACTTTGTGAAAAGCCGCCTTAGAAGAGTTGTTTGGCCAACATCATGTTCCACAATATGAATTAGAAATGGGACATCACTCAAGTTCATGTGTGTGTAAATGCAGATAAGTGAATACTTTTGGCTAAATAGTGCAGTTAAAGGCTTTCTTAAGTATTTTAAAACCAACAAACATAATGGATGCTTAAAACATTTTTTTTAAATAATCGTTCAAAATGTTTCTCCGTCAGTAAAGCGTCGACTGAGAACTCAAACCTGCTCAGAACTTGTTGGTTTTACTTGTACTTTAGATTATGAAACTGATTGTTTGAAACTGCTTCAAACCATCCAGTCAAGTAAATATATCTTCTATAATTGGTCTCAATTACATTGATAATGTGGAAAATTGCCAATGTAATTTGCAGATAACTAATTACCTGCAACTTATTTTCATTTCCAAGTACAAATTAGACCTTCCTCTAGTTTTGCAGTTGCGTGCTGAGGTTTATTTGGTAGCTCCAGACGAACAAATCGCAGCAGTATGAAGGTGAACGACAGAGAAGTCGCAAAGCGTGACAATTTTGTCCTCAAGCCATTTTAAATTCAAAGACGTGTTGGACCTGTCTGACTGATGGCTGCTGTTGATTCCTTAAATAGGTTTTTAGAGAAACATCTTTGCAGCTCCACATTTGTTGGGAGGGCCGGGGTGGAGCATCCAGTCTAAGTAATGGTTTCTGATGGGTAGTCATTCTTGACTACACATCAACTTTCTTTTTGTTTAGTCTGTTCTATATTTACCATTACCAAATTCTTGATTATGTTAGAAATGGAAAATTCTCTATGCAGGAGTCCTGACGTAGACTCCTGCATATACTGAGAGGAGTTGCTCTTTAAACTCCGAGGCGAGTGGAATATCTGGTGTTTGCCCATAGATGTGAAAGTGTCACTGACTCATAGCTAGCGGGAAGAGGTTGGCCAGAAATACTCCTGCTCTGCTGGCGCCACAGCCAGCTTGGATTAGAAATCTTTAATAACAGTTTAGTCCATGTCGCAGTAAACAGGATTACAGCCTGTCAAGCAATACTCGCTGAATTCAATCCTTCATTTGTCAGGTTCTGTTCGTATTTTAGGCTTGTACCGAATGCCTCCAAAGTGTTGCTGAAATAATAACTAAACCAGACTGCTGTGCCGGGAACGACATGCCCACATGTTCAGTTCTTCTTTTTTTAAAACTGTGAGCTGTCCTCCACAGCATGTTGTTCCCACCTGTCACGCGGCGCCTGGTGTGTCGAAGGTCTGGGCGAGAGCGTGCGTTTGTCCACGAGTCGCTCAGCAGCTGTCATGTCGAGTGGTGAAAGCCCAGTGGGATCTTAATCACTATTCATCCACAGCACGCTACCCCACTAACCCAGATAAGGACAGGAGAGTGAAAGAAAACCGGGCCAGGTCTTTTCATGAGACCACTCTGGCCGGTTGTCAACAGCTGCATCACTCTGCAACTAGCAGGAGGAGATAAATGCTTCTTTCAGAGTGTGCATAAGGGATACTTATGTCTGAACATATAAGGCCAGCATGAATACACTGTTTGGCTAGAATGTAACAAAATCAAAATAACCACCTCAGGAGAAACTCTCTCGTTATGTAGAGCAACCTGCCACTAACATTTACATCATTTACCCCAAATTGTGAACACAGCGAGAATAACCCTGATGGATTCGGTCTTAGTCACTGAAGACAAACACACAAACTTCTATGTAAGAAGCATGTACTTTTAAGATGTCTTCCATTTAAAATACTAGTCTTACAATGGGATTATTCATGACAGAGTTTCTGTCTAAGCCTTATGCAGAAGAGGACATTTTCCTGCGGATGCCATTAGGTTATTTTAACCTCTCTTCCTACCTCTTTTTTTTTTTTTGTAGTATGAGGTTAATGTGTTTTTTTTTTAGAACATGTTGTGAGAAGACATAGACTGTAAAGCCTAAATGAGGCTTGAGATGTTTCCTCACATTTGGTTGCTTCATTACTGTAGTGACCTGAAAATCGTGCGAGTAAAATGTGGAGAAAAGCAAGATTTGCACACCCACTCCACGACTCTCTACGATTATGCAGTGGAAATTGTCAAGTCAAAGTTTATTTATGTAGCACATTTTACAGCAACCTCAGCTGACCAGAGTGCTTTACAGCAATCACAACATCGCAGTCAGATAAATGATAAAAGAAAAAAGAAAATTACATTTGGCAAAAATAATAAGCTAATTATAATAATTTGCAGAAAATACTAAATAAAATGAATAAAAAACGAGACGTACTTAATTTCAGCTGCAGAGATTTCCCATCAGCTCAAACCAGTGAAGCACTTATATTCACGGACATTGTGAAAGGCGTCACAGTTGTTTAGAGAAAAGAGTCTAGTCCGAGTTCATAATTCCAGATTTAACTTCATTACTTTAAGATGGTTAAAAAGAAAAGGCTGTAAAACATCATTTATTCTATTTTAAATTTTTAGTTGTAGAGTAGCCTAACCTTTCTGTGTACTTGTATTCATTTGCTTAGTAATTTTTTTTTAATTTACTATCAAATGACTTCAATAAACTTGATTTAGTAATGTCAAAAAACAACACCCTGCTCTTGTTTAAAAAAACAAAAAACTTTTCTACAGAAGTCTGCACAACAACACAACACTTGATCCATTTGTTTGTTGAAGATGGAGGACAGGTAGAGGTGTGTCCAGTGGTGTATTGTGAAAACCAAACGAACATCTGAAATTGACAGCCTGCGAGACCTGTTAGTCAAAGGCAAACCTTCTTAGCTGGCTTATTTTAAAAATTGCTTCAAGACAAAACGTGCGCTGGCTGTTCTGGAATACAACTCAAGCTGAACACAGGGCAAAACATGGCCGCGCTTTCAGTCACAGATACAGAATCATCCCCGATGGCGGTGATGAAACACGTAGAGGTCTTAACGTCTGCTCTGTGTCGTCCTTTAGCAAAGAAGCCGAACGTGATCTTCGCCCTGACGCTTCACGGAGGCCACCTGGGCTTCTTCGAGGGTGACGTGCTTTTCCCTCAGCCCCTCACCTGGATGGACAAAGTGATCGTGGGCTATGCCAACGCCATGTGCCAGTGGGAGAAACAGAAAGCGCCCTGCCAAGCCAGCCACCTCACCGGGAGCTCCTGCGTAGAGGCAAAAGCCTAAACCTCTGTGTGTGTCTCTCTCTCCCTCTCTCTCATTCTTCATTTAAACATCCTACACTTTGCAGCACCACGGTTCCAACACGCACTGAGGAGACACTTTAAACTGCTCTTTGTCTCTGCCTTCTCCTCTGGTGCTACTCACCACTTCCAGACACACACACACACGCCTTTTTACTCCCATTTGAAACCACCATCACCTCATATGGTGCGAACAACAAGAACAGCCACAGAAAAAAAAAAAAAGAAACAAACTGCCTTCACTTCAGAGCTGGAACCTTTTGACACTCTCCATACAAACAGCGGTGACGCTCGGGTTAATGGATGCATAGACCAAATATAATAAAGGATCAAAGTTGAGCTGACTTTAATTGGAAAGAAACGCCAGTAGGACGTTTTTTTTTTTTTTTTTTAACCAATGAGAAACAAGCACACAAGAAGTCGTACAAAATAAGGTCAGTGTGACTGCCGGTGCCTATTTACTGCACCCATAAGAAGCTCACTGCTCATCACCGCCAAGCCCATAGAGCCTAGTCTGCTGTATTTGTAGTGTGTGTGCGTGTGTGTGTCGAGCTGGGAGATGTTAAGAGTACATCTGCGTGTGTCTTGGTCATCAACGATGGGACGTAGGGTCTTTTTTGTTTTAAGCAAATTATCCTTTGCTTGGTTGTTTTTTCTCGATGACCTATTGTTTGTTGCGCAGTAGTAAAAAAAAAAAAAAGAAGTATTACCCTGGGATTTTTCTGCATCGTTTGCAGCTCATAACAGCCTCCTGCTGCTCATGTTGTTTAAAATGGAACTTTAGCGTTTTCTCTGCAAACATGCCCGGGAGCGAACCATAAGATGAGATGAAACCCACATTCCCCTCACGCACATTCTACCACTTTACTTCGGTGCACTTTACGCCCCGTACGCCACGATGTTTTGCGGATGTGTGACTATTGCGTTTAGTAACAGTTTAACTGTCCTTTGACAAATATGAAGATTTAAAGGGAGCAAGGACGATAACAAGCGGTTACATGACTCGCTTTGTTCCCCAAAAAGTGTCTCTTGAGCCCTCTTACTTCCTCCTACCTTTGATCAGCTGCAGGTTCAGCTAAGAAGTCGGGTTTGTTCCTCCGATTACGACCAAATGATGTAGAATAACACAAATTGATCCAATGCGGTGCAGATGTTTTGTTATTTTTTTTTTTGTACTTCTGTGAGCTGTGAGGTTTGGTGAGTAGGAGGGCTAAAGATGCCCAAGCTGAACCAAACCTTTACTTTATTAGATTGTGATTGTCCTGTATGTATATTCAGGTGAAGGAGGCTGCTTGTCAGAAGGAAAATAGCTTTCAGTTTTTTTTGAGTATTTTTTTTTCTTTCAGCCAACGTATTTAAGAGCTTATTGTATTTATTTATGTTTTCTTTCCACCATACTGTGTTTAAAGTGTTGGAAGCGCTGCAGCATGATGTCAAAATCAAACTGTAAGTGCTGGGACTTGTGGATCTGTCTGTCACAACCTGGAACTATGTTGAAAGTTAATACAAACCTTGTAAGGGCTCAGGAAGCTCCTGTCAGCGAAGCTCCTGTCAGCGCTTCATCCAGACTAGGAACCCTGTGGTTGAAAAGCTGCTGCTGAACACTGTGACGACGAGACACATGGGTGGTTTGAAATGATGACATGAATGACAACAGTGCCTTTTGTTAAGCTGTAAGAATCAAAAGCGCTCCATGCCAAACTTCATTTTATTTACTCAGGTAAACTAACTGAGCTGCTAGAATAACGCATGTAATTAAAAAAAAAAAATGTTTTTATTTTGAGCCTTTAACTTTTTAATTCTCTGTAGACATAGTGTGTAGTGCAGGTTATGATAGTGCAGGGGTGTCCAAAGTCGGTCCTGGAGGGCCGGCATCCTGCGTGTTTTAGTTCTCTCCCTGGTTTAACGCACCTGGATCAAATGATGGCTTGTTAGAAGCCTAAGAAGAACATTGACTTGCTGAGAAGGTTGTTACTACCACCAGGGAGAGAACTAAAACATGTAGGATGCCGGCCCTCGAGGACCGACTTTGGACGCCCCTGTTCTAGACTATTATTCTAATCTGTAAGTCTAAAATCGGCTGTGATTAAGTGCTAAGCTAATCTGTAAGTCTACATTTCCATGAAGTATATATATTCGGAACAGATATTATAAATTCCTGATAGTAATCTCCCCACTATGATGTTTAGATCCAATTTTCTCTGAGGAGAAAATTGAAAGAGAGATTGACCAGAATCAGAACGTATTGAACTAGAAAAATCTCCAATATTTTTACTCTGTCTAAGCTAGTGTACTCAGCTCCATCAGTTGTTCTTTGCCTCTAATAGCACTGTTGCCATCTGCTGTCAGGGAGATGTAACTACAACTCCCAGACTTTAATGCCTATCGTCTTCTCATCCACCCACAGTCTTGTTGCATGGTTTCACCTGTCCACAGCTCTCGTTTCCTACTAAGCAGACGTGATTTTTGGGTTCTTCAGGCCCACTGAAGGATCGTCACCAGCGCTAACCCAGATTCTGCACTAAAAGCCATTTGGTGTTTTTTTTCAAGGCCTCTCTCTCCAACTTTGCACAAAACTGAATGCTTGGATATATTATTTAGATCATTTTGTGTAAATCATTTTTCTTGTTTTGTATTTTGTATTTCCATTTTGTCCTTCTTTTGTTACTTACTTGGTAAATGCAGCAGAGTTTGCGTCGTGTGTAAATGGGAGAATACTGTCATTTCAACACCTCTGATCGTCAATAACCAAAAATTTAAGAACAAAAAAAACATGAATTAGATGGACTTTTTTTTTAAGGGACCAGTAATATAAACCAATCATGGCAATAACCAGTCAGGGATGGGTTTTTTTCGTTCTTTTTTTTTTTTTTTTGACACTTGAGATTTTAAAAGAGGGAAAACTGTTAAACCAAACATGCCGTGCACATAATTTTGTAATAAGTCGTGGAATCTAAAAAGCTCTGATATTTATCCTAACGCCAGTGCTTCAGGCGTCAGGATTCTGTGCTCATATTTACTTTCTTGCAAACAAACACATCATTTACCCCCGATTGCTTTAAATGTATAAAAACACAAACAATCGCTAGGCTGTATGATGGTTGCTCATTTTATTCCTTTAAACACTTTTTCTTTCTTTCCCTATTAAAAAGTAATTCAGCCTAAAACACATCGGTAAGAACATACAGGTATCATTACACAGCTTTAATTTTTATTTAATCTTTTTTAGTATGGTTTAAGGAGTGTGGTGACAGCTTGAAGGGACCTGCACAGTCACACAACATGGTGTACTGCAAGACTGAACACTGGGTATTTTGTTTTGGTTTTTTAAAAAGAAAACCAGTGGAGTGTGTGATCTAATTATGAGGCAACATGGTTATTGTGTTCTTAAATAAATTATTTTCTCAAATGAAGAAAGATTCTCCTTTCATTTTGTTTCCTCAGCACATTATGTAAAATGAGATCTATCACACTTAGATTAATGTTTCTGAAAGAAGAAAATAAAAAAATCTAAATCTGAGGAAAATGGGTCATAGGACTGAAAAATAAACCATGTGGTTTTTATAAAGCAGTGGTCATTCACTGAAAAAGAAAGTATTTTCAGATTTATTAATTGAATAGTTTTTTTACTGATATGATTAATTGTGGAATGGCATAATTTACTACAGTGCTAATGAGAGCTATGTTTATCTTCTGTAAAAACGGTAAAGCTGCATTAAGTTTCTTCACAAATATTTCTTTCTAAGAGCATAAAAAAAGTCCAGGACTTTGATTTTGAATTCCAGGAAACTAAACTCATTCAGATTCCACTTATCAACACGTTCTTTAGGAGAAATGTTTGCATTTCTGTATTTAATACAGTTAGTAGAAATAGTTCCAGTCAAGAAACTCGTGGTAGAAATTAAGCCTGAGGCGACGCATGAGGAAGGAAAGTGGCTCATTAATGTGGGTCAGGATAGACTAAACATAGTTAATGGCAAAAATGATAAAGAAAAAACTATTTTGGTGGAAACTGGGTTTATTGCTACATTCAAATATGAGGTTAACAGATTTAAACAAGCTAACTTTTACAGAACTACTGACGTGTCTTATAGCAAATTCTTTTTTCAGCTCTGCAAGAAAATACAACAGACGGAAAGAAGTTTGCTTAAGTAAAAACATGGCTGCTGATAAACTGACATTTTCTGAAGGCACCACAATGATCTAAGGCAAATCCACTTCCTTGTTATTAGGAATAATATTCATAAAATCTATCTGAATCTCAAAAATCTGAAAGATGGCAACTTCTACGCTAAGGGTTAATTTTATGGAGGTTTAGCCTTATGCATCCGACATTGAAGGCAAACAAAATCAAACCAAATTTATCTGATTGTTTGAATCATAATGCCACAATGTAGCTTTCCTTCCCCCACTCAACAACATACAATAATACCAGTGCCTTGCAGTATAAACAAAATATAACAATTATTCTCTATGATATCTAGGCGTCATTTCCCTCTATTTACGCATTAATCTTATCTGCAGACTGACCTCTGCTTCTTTTATGTTCTCATATGCTTCAGTTAAAAAAAAACGTGGGAATGTTCTTTCAGAGAGCAGTGTCTTCGGAGCCAAAGAGTTGGGTTGCGATGCTTTGATAGTCGGCCACTGGGGCTTTTCCATCGAAATCTGACGGCAGGATGTCTGCATCGAATTCTTTAAAGTAGCCGTCCAACTCTTCACCGTGAACAAAGACCTGTGGAGCAATCAAGGGAAGTATTAGATAATCCTTAAACGAATTGGATAAACCTGCTGAATAAAGAGCAGATGTGTGTATCTTTGTTCGTACCCTCTCCAGCAGCTTGGCCTTCATGAAGGGTTTAACCACGTTGTAGGTCGTGGTGAAGTACCAGGGCTGGTGAATGACATGGACTGCCTTGAAGCGCGCAGGAAAGGAGTCCTGCATTGAAACGCACAACGCAGGCGGACAGCTGACACACAGCTCTCAGGTCAAACTCTAAGATGGTTTCAACCCTTTAAAGGCTGACAGCAGCAGTCAAAGAGCAATCTAGACTTTGAGGATGGTTTGGACAAAATACCCAAATAAAAGTAAACACTATTATTTACTAATAACTTACATCTAAGACAAATGTCAATGCCTAATCAAAATGTACTTATTCCAATAAATGTAAATGAAATTGAACTTAAAAATGGAAAAAGTAATTAAATCATGAAAATCCACCAAAAACGACTAACCTGCATATCTAGTTTCTCATTTGATTCTCATATTTTCACCACATTTATTGATATTTGAGTCACGCAAGTGACAATGCTGCAGATACTCATTTTCTCTGGTTCCACATTTGGCGAAAGTAAATATCTTCAATGTTGAAATGTTGAAAAAAAGTCTCCTTTGATGCATTGTTGAATTTTACAAGATACAAGTGTTTGTGATTTGCTACCAGACTGTAAACAAATACCTGTTTAGCTGCTAATTATGTCATTCTGGTAAATAAATGAGAAATTTGCACTCTGATATGTGATTTCTCCCTTTGCAGAGATCTTGAATGAAATGTTCAAGGACTGTAGGAGAATTATAATTTTTTTCTTGAGAACAAAACGTTCTTGTCAATCAGCGTGCAGCTGGAAGTATTTAGCATAAACCATCTTTTTTATTATTTCTAATATTTTGGAATTTGAACTCAAAGACTATTTTTGCTACTTGCTTCTTGTGATACTTAAATTCTCCACCAGAGGGCCTCGTTGTTAAAGAGAGACAAATTAGAAGTATGTGAATAAAAAGAGATACTTAGGGTCATTTCTTCCCCTGTGTTCTGACCTGCAGCATGTCCACCATCTTTTTGAGCTCAGCAGTCTTTATTCCCGAGGCATGCTGCATGGTGAAGCCTTTAAAGTTCTCAATCAGGACAAACCCGTTGATCTGAGTCTCTTCGTTTTCAAGCAGCTTCTCTAGGATCACGCAATACGCTCTCAGCACCTGCAACACATTGGAAAAGAATTTGCTTTGAGCTCCTGAGTTCCTGCGGGAGGTTTGCATGAGAGGGAGGTGTGTCTTTTCAGCCACCTCGTCAAAGGTGATCTCCTCCAGGTCCCAGCTGTCGATGTTGAAGAGCAGAACCACACGGCCATATTTGTCTCTGCTGGGCAGAACCACTGGGTAGCCTGCCTCGATGGTGCTACGGACCGCCTCGGGGGTGAGGTTCTCAAACAACTCGGGATAATCCTTCCTGAAGCGCACATAACCTGGAGGAGACACCCAGCACAGAAAGTACGGTCCAAAGGTTTTACCCATGTTGGATCCTCATGTGTTGTGTTTTTTATTTATTAAATAAATGATCTTTTAGAGAACTCTGACTGTCTGGAAGCCGATAATTTATTATTATTATTATTATTTGGCTTTCTACATTTTTTTGTGCCATTGACTTCCATTCTGTCTGCATATTCAAAGGCACAAAAATGCAGATGGAGCATGGATGACTTCAAAAGTCATACACAAAGACTTCCAGGGGGGAAAAATGACTAGTTTCAACCCAAAATGGAAAAGAGAACTTGCAATAATGATAAATCAGCAATTCATAGTGTGCAGCCCCAACACTACTTGCACAATAAAACTACTTTTGGTGCTTAGAACCTGACATAAAAACAATACTGTCTCATAGCCAAGACTGTTTTGTATTGAGACACTAATTATCAACAGAAATTTATAAGTTTAGGTGACTAACCCTACAGAGAAAGCTCACTGGTTATATCTTGGTTATATCTATATCCAAACAGACCCCAATTGTTCACCGATGTGATTTTGTATTTCTTTTATTTCTACATGTTGTTTTGGGGTAGAAGTCTTACAACCTATGGTTAAAATAAAATTACATTTAAAAAAATGTGATCATAGAAAGGACTGCACAACGGTGTGTTCTTTAAGTGCATGGATCTGAACCAGAAGGCGTCCTCCTGTCGAATCAAAGTCTCTTCTGCTTTATAATCTTGTCCAATCTCCAACATTTCCCGCTCAGCTCAGGCATGCCGCGGTTCCCAGCATATCACTGAGGGCCAACAAGTAGAATCAACTTGTTGTCCAATTTGGACACAAAGGAGGGCTTTGTCAGGGGGGACTCAGAGGCATGTAAAGGCTCCCAATTAATAAAAATGTGACCCACTGTTTCAGAGATGCATAAAACAAGGAAACAAAAGATAGACTTAATTACTGGAGCTTTTGGAAACTGCATGCGGGAGCTGAACTAAAGCATATACAGCTGAATCCAGTTACTTAGATCCACTCTATATGGAGAGATACAGCCTTTTTTCTTTTCTTACTTTTGGAAAAGTTCAGTTTAATTAGCTGGTTTATTACTTTCTTCAAATTCAGAAGTTGCACTGAAGCTTTAGAGAGCACTGACACCTGGAATGCACTCGAATATATTTATTTCACTGCTGCTGCACAGCTGATGGAAAAATCCAAGGGTTTACTACTCTGTTCTTTGCAGCACTAGGGGGCACTGCTGAGTCTGAGGAGTGAATCAACCGGAAGTTCCAACCAGCGTATCTTTACGTAGACGCAGATGTTGTTCAGCCGCATAGACATAATATAAGAATATATATTATATTATTATAATATATTATGTCTATGTTCAGCCGAACCAAAAAGCAGGAAATGTAACAACGGTCTGTTTGAGTGGCAGAAAATAGCTAAAGTCAGATAAAGAACAAAACATTTGTTTGTCTTTCCACTATGTATTTTATAATTACCTCACAGATCCTCATATTTTAAAAACCTGAACTAACCCTTTGACTTTTTGGCTAATTTTTTTGAGATGTCACCCTTTTCACCTAATGGTATTTCATCATAACATCATCTATTTTGTGAAGTGCACTACTCCCAAAACTCCTACACAGCATTATGCTTCCACTTCTGTGTTTTGCAGTCCATGTGTTAAGACGGCTTCAGACACCATCTTCACACTGGATTAGATATTAGATTAGGTATATCTGGAATTCAAACAAATAAACATGAATTTTTAAGGTCCACGATGTTTTCTTTTAGTGATTTTTTTTTAAATTATTATTTCATTTTTGACAAAAGGAAGATGCGCGTACAGGTTTGGCTTAATTTAACTTCGATGCTGTGAAATAAAGTCAGAAGTTTCCAAAATCGTTTATCTTTAAAGGTATAATAATGTAAGAGTGCACAAACTTCTGACTTTGAAGAAAGCCTCGAAAATGTCTCTCTTTATTCTACATTTTACAAGTTCAGTTTGATTTAATGTGACACAGTGAAGAAACAAAGCCTTAGCTTAGCTATTGCTTTCAACCACTGCAGCGAATAACCCAGCAGATTGTTGCCATCTCTGTCTCTCACCCTTCATGAGCTCATGGGCTCTGGTGACGTCAAACTTTCGTGCCCGGAGGAAGCGAACCAGCAGCGAGTCCGGTTTGTCCCCGAAGCGGTCCAGCACCAGTTTGGCCAGGTCGTCTCCCTCTGACGCCCTCTCCTTCATCATGACCCGCAGATCTTTCAGGGATGACCCTCGTCTTTCGTTCGTCTCATGCAGCTCATCCTTTGCCTAAAACAAAAAAAAAACAACAACAACAACAACAAAAAAAAAAACAACACTCAAAATGTAATTTTTAAAAACAGAAATCAGCAGCCTCACTTCAGATGTTTTACCTTTTGGACAGTGTGGCCAGGAAGTTTGTGGCACGGTCCAAACACTGACCCGTGGTCCTTCACTGTCAGGTGCTCCAGCTTTGACCTCATGGCCTGCTCCTCCTCGGACACCATACGGAAAGTACCAGTCTGCACGAACAAGAGTCTGCTGCTTTAGATTAACGTCTTCGGATTAAATCCAACAGCAACTACTCAAACTAGAACACCCTGAGCTGAAGAACATCTGTGGGATCCATTTCACACAACAGACGCTCAAAAAGAAATGCTTTTCAAATGTTGAACAGAGGCTGGTTATCGGTAAAGACAAGCAGGGCACTGAGGTGTGAAAAGTAGTTAAACTTACAGCAGCCATGGTCGCAGCGTCTCACAGCAGCAACACTGTCACTGCAAAAAAAAAAACAGAAGAATAGCCAGAGACAGAGTTGGGAGCTTTTCTTTAAAAAACATAAAAAATTGGTCACAGAGGAATGAATCTCCGCACTGATCCATCCCAGAACCAAAGACTAAAATCTACGACAACACAAACAGATGAAGCAAAATGTTTCCTTAGATATTGTTTTTAACTCAACAACGCATTTTAGAATGACTTGGCAGCACAAAACATTTCTTTCACGGATATTCATTCAGAAATATCAGTCTTGGCTCTAATTTACTTTGAACAAAGATCCATAATTTATTATGTTTTTCCCTATTATGGTTTTCATCCATTCATTGGTGAATGAATGGATGTTTAATTTTTTTTTAAAGAGGAGAAAACTCAGTTAAACACTTTTAATATAAAATACAACTGTGACTATGATGGCACCTGTGTTGTTTCAGATAATTAAAGATCTTTAAAAAACACATGTATGTTGAGAAGTTGCTTTGAATGTTGATTTTAGGTGATTCTGTACAGTTGAAACCAGGATCTTTACAACAATGTTCTGCAGCGTCTCTCCTTTTACATGTATTTCTATAGTTTTTAAATATTGCAACCTCCAGCATCAAACAAATATGAATTGCAAATTATTTACATACTTATTTCCTAGGAGAAATCCTGCCTGCCTTCTTCAAACATTAAATTTGTGTAGAAGTATTCTTTTTTTTTTATCAATAAATAACACTAAACAGCTCTGTTTCAACATTTGTCTGTATCTGCTGATCTGTTTTATTATTTTGTTTTAAAAAAAAAAAAAAAACAGATCTGAGAAGCCTTACCTTGTGCAAACAGGATGGGAGTCCCACAGAGAGTGGCAGAGGACAGGAGCATGGAGAGGACGGCCAGAGGGGTGGGAGTTCCTGAAAACACCACTCAGAGACGGATTAATCTGGAGAGATTACAGCTAATCAATATGATGCAGCTTGTGAAGGAGAAGATGCTGGCTTATGATTTGAATTACTACCACTTTCCAATCTTTCAATTTGTTTTTACTTTTTTTTTTACTGATATTACTTTGATTATTTTGTAATTTTCTCATCTGTATCTTATTTCCCCAGATGACCTGTAAACCATCTAGTTTTGCTTTCTTGCAACTATTTTGTCACTCTGTGGGTTTTTTGTCCCTTACTTTTTTCTCGCTTGTTCCAGTTTTACACAAAATACCATTATTTAAGTGTTTTAATTTTAAAAACACAGAATAAAGCACATAACTGCATACCTAGCCACATGTATACCTAGTGCCTACAAAGATGGTACAATCTGATGACAAGAATCTCATTTCCATACAAGTCAGACAGCTCCTTCACATAGTCATGGACATACATTGGAATTAACTGTAACATACATTGGAATTAACTGTAAGCATCAAATTATCATAATTAGCAGAAATAATTAATCTAAGCAAAGTGCGTCACTTACTGAAATTACTAAACCTTTCAGCAATATTGAGTTTTATTGAATGTGTCTACACAACTGAGCACACTGGTTTAGTTAAACAGTGCTTTTTTTTTCCAACTATGATTTATACATTGACTGTAACACTTCCTCCTAAGCATCATATAAGATTGTTTTTTTCTCTCCACCTTGTAAGTCTGGAAGCCAACCAGCACATGTGATGTGAAGCCCTGGTTCTGTCTCAACTCTTCTGGGCCCGTTGGGCTGTCATGTGAGCGAGACGGCCCACTATGCAGAAATCATGCTTTTAATTTCCCATGAAGCATTTCTATGCACATTCCTTGCAGTCCTTTTCAGATGGGTGGGAGAGGAGGGGGGCAGCTCTTGTTTTCTGTTCCAGATTATGGATTACTTTCCCATGATCGCACAGCATCAGACTCCCTGGTCTCTGAAGTACCGGCCACGTAGCCGCGGCAACAAAGATTTCAAAAAGTATTCACTTTGGAAGTTTTAGTTTATTGTAGACCTTTTTTGTTTTCAGCTGAAAATAACTTTCACTGACTATTGTAATCATCATGTTAGCAGAAATTCAATTTCCGAGTCAAATTTGAATGACTGTGGGAAATATTTTCTTTGAGTTTGGTCAAAACTTTATTTATATTACAGTAAGTTTTAATGATATCCTTGTGTTTTATCTAAAGCCATCCAACCAGAAAATAAAAGTATTAGGGTACCTAAGTTCAGTCCTTAGCTTATTTGTCTTGCTACTTTTGTTTTGCCCACTAGGTGTCCTCGCACTTCATCCCCTGACTCAGTCTTTCAGCTTACTGTTGGTTGCTTTTATAGTCTTCTTATAGTCAGAAATACTTCAAAGACAAACACAATTGATCAGATTTTGCACATTGTAACTTATTTTTGTATTTTCCCCTTCAGGAACCAAAAGCTCCTCCTCAGGGAGAAAAAAAAACAACTATTTGCACATGACTTTTAAAGTCAAGAGAAAAACAAAAACATGTTACCTTTGCCTTTCGGGGCTTCCGTAGTGCAACATGTTCTGCTCCAGGCAAATGACTGAAATTAATCAGGACCTGCTAAAATCAATGTATTTTAAACAGGCTGTTACACGATAATCTGCTTTTAGCCTAATTAAAGTTAGAACAGAGTTAAACCTGAAGGGAAATTGCATCTCTTCATTAGTAAAGACGCATTCTTTTGAGATTTAGCTCCCAGTTTTCATCTCAGTGAAGACTGACATTTATAAAATGAAGAAATGTGTTACATTAAAATTAGTTTCATCAGTCTCCTTTGATGTTTTTGTTGTCTATTCTCATAACATAATGTGCAGTAACATAGTAAAGATTGCCACAGTGATTCTTGAGAAGAGGGACAAAATGGGTTCAACCCCCGTCCACCCCCCAAGAGAAATTTTATTATTCTCTGCTTATGTATTCAAATATGACAAATAATGTTTTGGAAATGGAAAGATGCTAAGGTGCAGGCTCCCAGTGGCAACATTATTTTGAAATTTTGAAAATTAAATTTTTAATGGACACGACCCAGAACATACTTCTCAAGAAACAAAAGAAATATTTAAAACAAAAAGTCCATCTGACGGAGTTGACGCAGAACTGAAGGTGGTGACAAAATGAAATATGATACATGTGAAGTAATGTAAAATACATTAAAATGAATTAACTGCACATTTAAGTGAGATTTGACAACAATTTCACTAAAAGAGTCACAAAAACTCTGATGGAGTTGACATCTGACGGAGTTGAAAAAAAGCCACACTACCTCAATTTATATGATGTTATTCTGAAGGAGGCCATATTGTAGCTCATCAGGTCCATGAAATCTTTACAACATACCAAAATTAAGCTTTTGTTTCACAAAATGTCATCAAAGTTTTGTAAATTGTCAGTTATGGAGTTAACACATCATGGTTGTGACAAACAACTTAGGAATAAATCAGAAGAAAAAACTAAAGAATAACTTAAGCTAACTAGAGCTAACTAGCCCGATAAGCAAAGGAAGAGAAAGGAAGAGGTCATGGGGTCCTCAGAAGTTCTGATGCCCCTCAATAATGCCTGATTTTTTTTACATTCTTTTCATTTCTGACGGTGTTGACAAAAACTTGGGACAAATTTCAATCGAGTTGGAAAATATATACAAATTATATTAATTCAATATATTGATACTTTTATAATTATTTATTTGAATACTTATACTTGTCATAATATATTATCTTAGTATTCCTTTAATTGTTTTAATATGTTATAAT